GGCACAAATATTACATTAAGTAATAATTGCATACCATTCTAACAGTTTATATGTTTAGACATTCGACAATTGATAAGGTGTATTGAACACTTAAAAAGGTTTGTGGGTAAGATTATAATTTATGGACGATCTTTGAACGACGCCACAATGACCTTGAGAATGTCCACCTACTTACTAAGGCTAAATAAGTGTTATAAAGCAATTTGAAGAATAGGGATTAGATTTACGGTTTTTTCATCACAAACTGACATCAGCTAAAATATCAAGACGCTATTTGGCCAAATGAGTGAATGAATTTCGTGCTAAAATCCGAGATCTGTTATCCTAAATCTGATTGATTCGTCTCGGCCATTTTCTCTTATACAAGTTATCATAGATTATTCAATTAAAATTTTGTGATCAATAAATTAAGACTTCGTATTATGAAGTTTCAGAAAGACATCATCTAAATATGTTTTGTTCATTTTGGTACAATAGAATTATCTTCAGTTCTTTATTGAATGTATGGTAGATCTTTTTGGATGAAAACGTTCGAATTTATAGTCTCAGTCAAATCACTCAAGTAACTATCTACATTGTCAAGCTTTTCTTGTACAAACGATATAAACATTACTTAATCTATTTTAAAGTATTAAAGAGTAACCTTTGTAAAAGAATACAGATCAGTGTACTTTTAGTGTGAATATCATTACAAAGGAAATAAAGAATAATGTTCACAGTTATATAATATAAACTTGTGGGCCAGAGTAATTTTACATTGTTTTTCCGGAGAAATAGACACTATCTAGACTTTCATGTGACAACCCGAACAGTACAGCTCAATCCCGTTTAACAGGAGAATCAGACTACTACTTGAAGTTTGTTTTGATGATGTCGTTAAGATGAACGAAGAAAGATCCACGACCAAACCATCCAGCTCAGAGAACAAAACTTCATCAAAAGAATAGTTTTTTAACGTGTATAATACATGATAGAATTTGACAATAGATGTTGATATCGGTTCCATTGACATTTGATAACTATAAAGCAACAAGTTATATTATTTTATTTCTATGGATTTGTAGTGAATGAAAACTCGATTGGTGATAACTAAAATGACAGAATTACTTACGTAACAATATGAAAACCATACATTAAATATAATATCTGCATATCTTCCTTCAGTTGTTCTTTATACGCTGCATGATTCTTTTAATTCTGTTGTTATTACAATCGTTTTCTGTTTTTATTCATGTTCTCTTCAATTGAATCTTCTCAATATTCTGCTGACATGTATTCCACTTTCGATTAATATTGCATATTACTTTATATTTTTTAACATAAGTAGCATATATCTCAACTCTTTCATCATCTTTTGAACTTCGAAAAATACCAGATAAAAACAATTGCAGACCAAATTATATATGATAATTTCAATTTTACTACTTTTAAGTAGTTTCAAGCAATGAAGTCTATTTGTCAATGACATCCATACGATTTGACTTAGAACTAGCAAATCAATTTGACATAGTAGGTTCAGATGTTGTTGTTATCTGAAGTGTTATTTATTTGTTGATTTATTTGAACACATAAATATTGGTACAAGGGGGCAACGAATACATATGCACCACGCAAGTCACTTAATTTGTGTGTAGGCTGTATTACTGTCCGGCTGCCCAGATCGAAGCAGATGGTTTCTCAGGAAGAAACACCCGGAGCCTTTGACCTAAAGGTCTTATCCACAAGGGATTGGAGTAACGTCAGGAGATTTAGTCCCATGGCAGCCAGTGACCGAAACTGGGTTCATACGCAATTTGTCCCTTAAGGATACTGGACCCTATATGCACTATTGATTTTGAATTAGGCTTTTTCAACTCCTTTTCGTGGATCCTCCTTATCAACTAACCCGGTTAAAGTGCCGGACATTTTCGTTTCGTCCTCTCAAGTTCGTCATCAACAGTAATGCCGCGAGAAGACAATGAGTAGGACTCCCATGGCAGAGGCTATATGCGCGTGGCCATGTTGAAAGCATTTCGAGAGAGAGAGAGCAGACTCTCCCCACCCTTGTGACTTGCGACGCTAAATATCAGGTGGCCAATTTACCAGTCGAAATTCTGATGATAATTTCTTCCATAGCTAAGTTTTTTAACAATGTCCAATCATACGTCTGACCTTTGCACTTAACCTTGAGCCGACTCAAGCTAGGCTCCTATTGATAAGTTATCCTCAAGCTTTCTTCTATCTTTGGCCTTGAGACCAATGAGAAGTCAATAGCTCGCTTTTATTATATTATATTTCAAGAGCACAGGTTTATATACAATCATACTGGACCGCATCACACTATAAATCGAAAAATCATAATTGTACATAAAATAACCCAAAATTGACTATAAATAGGGATAAGCGAAAGCTCATAATAAACAGAACATAGGTACATAGTATTCCAACTATTAGGTTATAGAGGATTTTTTAATTAATACCTACGCCTCGTATATCAGTCATTCTGATAACCGTCATTAGATAACTTCTGACACTATAAGTTTCAAAAAACAGTTTATTACTGTACGGCTCAGATCCCGAAGCTATCAAACACATAAAGCGGATACGAACGAAATTGTGAATGCGAATGACTGGGAATCGATAAATGGATGGGATTTAAGAAGCACATGAAATAAGCAAGCAAATGGGTCATCCAGCGTTTTAAGAAACTAACGTTTAAACTAGAAAGTGAAGTATTTGTGTAGGTTGAAATATGTGATCTTTTATAGACAACCATAGGTGTATGGAGCTAATAGAGTGAAGATATATGTAAATTGTCATATACACAAATACTTTTGTCTATTGAATAAGTTACCTAAAGGTTTTGATAAGTCTAAAGGCGTACAAACTCAATTATGGGTGAAAGTTTTATGAAAGTGTGTATAATAATGATAATCAATAAATATGTTATAGAAGGTACCATTTCTTCATTCTTCGTCCTGACACATGAACGCAGCTGGCATTTTCATGATGAATCTTAAATCTGTTTACCTTCATAATTATAATTTTGTTAGTGAATATCTCTTTAGATAAGCAGTTTGTTCCATAAAAATAACAAACCTAGGGGATCTAGTTATTCATAGAAGTGTTTCAAACACATACGCTATGTTGAACACTACAATGTCAAAATAAATGACATTAATATCAATCGCTTAAAATAAATGATCGAAGAAAACTTAAACGCTTCAAGAATCTCAGGGGTATTTCATAGCATACTTTTGTTTTATCCTTATTCATCCTACTCAAACAGCACATGTTAGCTATATCACATGGTAGTTATAGGTGTTACCATTTGTTGTCATATCATAAAATCTTGTTAGGGATGAAAAATAATAAAAAATCAAAGTCAGACTTTGAAACATAATTTAATATGTCTTGGTGTTCATAAGCGGGATGAGAGTTCAGAATCAGTCGAAGCTTTGTATGAAACAGAAGTCACCAGTAGTTGACATGTGCAATTTTCGCTTAACTGATGTTATCTATCAGCTTATAATTCATTATATTCAGGTCCACATTCAAAGGTCTTCTGAAATCGCTTTACAATCAGAACTGCTTTTCTATAAGACTGAAATACATTCTAGTCATATTAAACATACTTCATCACAACATAGTGTAACATTTCGTGTTGGAAAAACTCAGACCTTGTTCAACAGACTTCGATCAACATTAAAGGTTAAATGGTATGATATAGGCAACAATTTTCTGACTGTTTATCAAAAATCCTATATGCAAATCAAAATCACGAAATTTTTTAGAAAACACAGAAAATTGAAGATATTGGGACTTCCCTTTTATAAGCTAACCTTAACAACTGATGTCAAACTTGTTGATGCACAATATTTTGTGTATGAGTTTCTCGTTTCAAAGCTTCCAGACATTTTGTATAAATACTGTAAAAGTGCTTATCAGTCTAGATTCTAAAAATTTCATGAGTGTAAATCGGTAAATGATCGTAGCTTATCCACCATTGGTAACCGGGAAATATTGAACGAATGGTTCGTCCTACCATGGGGCTCCTCATTAATACACATTCATGATACCGCTTTATTGTGCAGTTCCCGCATTTTTATTTTGAAGCTATGATCAGTTGAATTCAACCATTTAGGCTGTGAGACAGGCATTCAGCTCAGATTATTTAAAGTGACTACGTAACATGGCGAATTGGATTAAATTTGACATGTACATTTTCAGAAACTGACTCAGTGGTTTCGAGATGGAACGCGAAACCGAAGATCCTAGGTTTGATCTCCTGTGGTAGTTCATGGATGCACACTATTGGAGAGTCCCATAGCTGTCTAGTACTCCTTAATTTCCACTGATTATCAACCTAAGATCATTTATAAGTTCCAAATTATGAGTATAATTTTAAACAGAGTTAGATGGTGGTTAGAAATAGAATCCAGAACACATGTTTTATCTCAGTTTAAACTCATCAGCTGGATATGTCTGCTAAAGAAGACTGATTAGTTTTAGTCCTAAACATCAATCAAAACATTTAGACAATTAATTCATATGAGAATAGTTGTTCATTTACTTATGTAAATGACTTTTTTTTCTTATTTAATTCTAACCAGTTCAGAGGCTTTCTAAATTTTTGCTACTTGGATCCACATATATGTGGCATTGACTTTGACAAAGATTTGACCTGAATATAAATAACAATTTAATATCCTATCCTATCCTATCCATCAGTTTGTAATATAATAAATGTGTCATTTATGTGAATATGTTTAACTGATATATACCATAGCCTTTCAAAAGCATTGCCTTAGGCTTTATTAATTGACTATAATCCAATAATAGTCATATAATAATCATATGATAGTCATACTACAGCGATATAATAGTCACTATATAATATATTAATTTCATAAGAATTTCACAATAATGAAAAGAAGGGAGATTTATTTTATTCGATCATTCACAAGATTTTTAGGTCATTAATTTCATCACTGTGGTAATTCATTACAATTTGTTTTTTCCTAATGTAAATTACAATGTAAACATTTAAGTCATACTAACCTTTGAGTTGTATACTGCGTAATTACTTACGTTTGTTACCCCTCGTGGTGGAGCATAGGCCTCCCATCAGCGTTCTCTACATTAACTGTATTAATTATTGCTCAAGTTGTTAGAAAGGGGAAAGGATCTAGTGGCTTCCGAAATATCTAGATTTTCATCATGAGGTGACATAATTCTACTAAAAGAAGATACTTCGACTCGAAAGTTTAAATTATTCACTCTGGTTTGCGTCTTTTTAGCAAGGTTGTTTTCTATGGGATAGAGTTGCTGACCCATTTCTTAATTCCCCTCTTTTTTACCCGAGCTTGGGGCTGGCAGTAACACTAGAAAAGCTACAGGAGAAGTTGTGTACTGAGTAGTTTTTTACAATAATATTGTTTCACTTTTGTTAATTGCACAAAGGTGTGTAATTTCGACCACTACTAATATACTGTACTTTTTTTATCCTTAGTATTCACAGTAAATATAAACTCAGATTAGAATCTGTTCGACGTCATTTTAAACATTGTATTTTTGAGAGTAATTGTAACTAGGACTATAAATCCAAATGGTCTTAGTTAAGTAATAATCCTCTATGTAAATGATCTTTTTTTTTCAAGATATTAAACAAATAATACCTTACATTCAATAATGTAATCCAATTTTCTTAGTTAACAACCGAGTTGTAGTATTTTCAGATGTGGAGATTTCATACTGGGATTTCACTCGTAACTTTTCAAGAATCTTAAACAGTTTGTGGCAGTCTTTTAACGTAAAGGTTTGTTAGGATCATTTTTGAGATAAATCGGAAAGTTCCTATCTGATGATGATACATACACAAATGATTGTACCTTAATGCACTAGTGAAGAAATTACATAGTAATCATAATTATGTTATGAATCCCTTACGTAGTTAATCTTAAATAACACCGTACTTCTTTATCTAAAGGATTTATATGGATTGATTAATTGGCATGAAATATATTCAAGTCAATGAGCTGCAAAATAATCAAGCGGATATATGAAGGTATCAGATAACTGTATCATATATTTTCCTTATGATTTCCTTCCAGTTTCGATTATTAACTTCTTAATTGTTTTATCAAGTCTTTGGTGTCAGTTGTCAGTTTTTAAAATCGTTACCTAGGGAGAAGAGGTTAAAAACATTTGATTCACACATCAGTTATATCCGTAGAAAAATTCATTTTTAGAGCTCCTTTGATAGTTTGAAGGGGTATCCTGGGCTACAGGTAATCTATAAACTACTCCTATTAGACAAAAGCATTCGTTGTCCTCCATATTGTAACAATAACACCAGAATAAAAAAAAAGAATATGGATTCAACGAACAACGTCTTCTGTAAAACATGCTGAAGTAGAATAAATAACTTATATTATCACTAATGTCAGGTACTTACTGCGAAATGGGGATGTCTCTGAGTGAATCACCAGTTGTTAAAACTCAATCGTCCGGAGTTCAGTTTCATTCCTTATAACTTTATCATAACTTCTCAAACCAATATTAGTTAATGTCGGTTTGTATCATGATAGGATCATCAGTCCCATCAAAGATTTGGGATACACCTTGATGATGTGAATTTATTTTTTCAAATATACCCTCTTCATTCTGTCATAATTGGACTGATGTTCAAACAATCAAACAAATGAAAACGTTCGTTTACAGAATATTTATTTCTACATTAACTAGTTGTGAAAGAAGAAAATATATATCGTTCATGCGAAATAGACATTTAAAAAGAAATTCTGTATTTCTATTAGGAATTTGAACTATATACAATGAAGACATGGCACCCTAAATTATGAAATGAAGGCGGATCTTATAAAACATGGGAATATCAAAGAATTGATTTATAATTGACAGATTTTAGTATTATAGAATTTAAACTACATGCTTAAACTATTTGTGATAGAGACTCCATAAATTCATCAGTTGACATTTGATATGGTAACTTCAAGGAACCTGTTAAAATGTTTTCTTGGCCGGTTGCTTTGTACAAATCTTCCTTTTGTTCATTTTCATATTCATTACTATCCTCGTCGTCATTATTATTAAGAAACTGAAGTTTATTATCTGCTTTAAAGTTTACATTTTCGAAAATATTCCCACATAAAATATTATCAAGTTGTGCCCGAAACAGTGAAGTTAAATCTAAGGGTACTGGAAAAATAATTGTCGATTGTTTTCCTGATGAAATACTGTTAACTGTTTGAAGATAACGCAGTTGCATTGCAATTGGATGTTGTTTAATTTCGACAGCAGCAGCTTTTAAAGCACCAGAAGCACGCATTTCACCTTCAGCCGCTATAACTTTAGCAGTGGCTTCCCTGACAGACTCTGCTTCTGCTGCCATTGCTCTCTGAAGTTGTATAGGTAAACGAACATCTTTAATTTCTACTCTTTCAACTTTTACACCCCATGCTTCTGTTACAGAATCCAAGCATTCCTAGAAAAAGATAGCAACGAAGAAATTTGAAGAGCGTTTTAGTTAACAGTTTTTAAGTCAAAGTTATACGAGTATTATATTGTAGAATGAAATTTTGTAAGTTCCACTTCGATACAGTAACAGTGTGACTATCAGACAAAAGATAATTCTCCTGAATAACATTGGAATATTTCTCTTGAACTAAGGGAACTGTTAGATAAATCAAAATATTCATGGAAATGATATATTTTAAACTAATTGAAACACAACACATAAAAACACAGCATAGTTCATTCCTTGAAATAGTTGAATTCAGGAGTCAATTAAAGCTGGACCGTGATGGAAAATTTGAAAGAATGGACGGCCGTTTCTTAATAGTATGGGACTCCTCCTCAGTGCGCATCCACGATTCCTCTTGCGAGATTCGAAATGGAACAACTGTCTAGTGCTTCCAGGTTTTCCATGGTGGTTTAGTTTCAATTGACTCATGAATTCAACTACAAAATTACCAAAAATCTCCACAAAAACCTCTTCTGATAATTATTCAGAATCTTAATTATATTGTTAAAAAACGCCACTCCTAGTAAATTAATTATAGTAAAGTTGACTAGTTCAGTTTCTGATTTTATAAAAGATACAAAACATGGATTTGAACAATTAACGCTTATTTGTGTATGTTATCGCTCATATTTTGCAAGTAGATCTTGTAAGCCAATAAAACTCTACAACTAATTTTAAGTTGTGATTATTTAAATTCATTGAACGTGTTATCCGAAACTATTCGAAAATATACAGTTTACTCAAAAGATACTAAATTAATCGGAAACACTTTGGTATATAAGTAAAGATGGATTGTGGGTAGCAGTGGAATCCCGGACGCGCGTTTCATCCTATTTGGGACTCGTCAGATGTATATACCTGCACCCCAAAGTTAAGTAGCTAAATGGATAACGTGATAGTGTTTGAAGCAAACGGTACTGGGTTTGAGTCCCAGAGTGAACATCAACTCTGAAATGCAGGACGAAACGCATGTCCCAGATTCTACTGCTAGTCACTATCCATCTTTACTTATAAAGCTTGTGACTTAAGGCAATATCAAGGCAGTCCGCAGTGGATGCACATATGTCAACAAGATATTGACCAATTGCAATCCTAAACAACAATGGGAAGATACAAGCAAACAATACCAAGTGAATTACACTTTAGTGTATGTTGGAAATTTAAATCAATTTTCTTCAAAGTAACTTATCAACATTAGATCTACATGTAATCTTCATGGATGTTTTAGAAAAGTGAGTGAATAAAAATGAACTGAACAAGGCGACATATAACATTCTTTTCTGTTCATGTATGGAAAAGAAAATTTCATGCTGCAGGACAGCTTGGGTTGTCATGTAATTTAATGACAGATGAAATTGTTCAACTTTAACAGTCACCTAGGAACGCTTCATAAAGAAGCATAGTGAACACTTCAACACTGAGTATTTTAAACATCCCATGCATACATTTTAAAGCAAACCACATTCTTTTTGTTTATTATTTACTGTTTGAAAATCCTTGTCCTTCGCAAAAGATTTATTTCAGTCAACAAGATAAAGAAATAAAAATGTGATCTTGTGAATTAACAGTGGAGTACAGTTATTCAACTCAGACAATGAATGAAGAGTTTCTCAAAATCATGGATCGATCGAAGTTAGAAATTACCACTGTTGTATGCCGGCTCAGTGGTCTAGAGACTAAGAGTTCTTGATTCCAATTCTACGTGCAAGATCATGGATGTACACTGTTGAGGAGTCCCATATTAGGACAAAACGGCTGTCCAATACTTTCAGGCTTTCAATGATGGTTCATATTCGGATCAATTTATGAATTCAACTATTAAAACATACATAAAAGTCACTAACATACATTAAATTATACCATTCATTGTAATTGAAAGTGATTGCTTAAAAAGGAATGGAAAACTTTAGAAATTGAGCTCACTAAAGTTGGTTCTTTTTTTTCAATCATCAAAGAGAACACAAAAAGTAAATCATGGTGATTAAATAAATCTTTATGAAATTTAATTTGATTTATCAGTTTAAATTCGATTGCATAAACGATACTAAGAAGGTTAATATTTGTAGTCATTTGTATTATTTTCAAAGACAATATTATCACATTAGATTCTTTGTTATTCATTGTACAGTATTCAACCGTTTGTCAGAAAGTGAATCTTTTATGTTTTGTTTTTATACTTCTTAAATATTCAAGATAACTAACGACATGTTGAATGAATAAATTGTAAACTTCAAAGAAACGATTTATCTATTACACTACATGATGTATTTCATTATTGAATGGATTCTATGTGTTCTCTACATTATTACCATTTTTACTTTCTTTAAAATTTATACGGTTTCTTCAATAGTGGTTAGCCTACATTCCACAATATATATATATATATATATATATATATATATATATATATATATATATATATATATATATATATATATATATATATATATATAAGCAAGAATTCAATATTCCTATTCATTTATAAAGTTATAAAATTTCTGTCATCTCACGCAACATTTGACTAATGAAAAAAGAAAACTCTTTTTCTTAATAGATAAAGTTTTGGCTTTAAAGCATAGAATACAAACAAAAAAACAAACCACAGTCTGAGTACCGTATACAGATATTTAGTTTAAACAATGATTTCTTGTTGGTAACCAATAAACTTTCTTACTGGTTAAACAATTTAAAAATAAGAGAAATCTACTGTTAAATGAATATAATAAACTACGTTTTTTTGGAGCAGTAACAGTGGTAGTAGTGTGGTGTGTGTTACTTATATCCATATAAGTAGTATATAATGATGGTCAGGAATAGAATGTATTTCAGTAGATCGATAAGGGAAGAACGGAAACGGAATGTAATTGGGATGAAAACGCATGAACAATGAAGTATGAGACAATGGACTGATATTTGCAATAGGAACAGTCAAGTTTGATATGATAGATTAATATTTTGCAAACTAATGATTTACTATGTGTTTTTCATACTTTATTAAGATGCTCTCTAATTTCGTGTCAAATGGGTTCGATTGCCCCCACTGGAGTTCTTGTTAACTACAGTAGTACTTATTATTAGGCTACATTTAATTATAAGCAATAAGATAATCATAAATAGCTAGTTCATTGATATTTCAATTTGAATAGTGTTGTTTCGTTTTCATTTCAATTAGAAACATAAATGAATTAGAATGTAATAAAAAGACAATTGTTATCATAGCAAATTTTGAAAATAGTTTGAGTAGTACTTATTAATGAAACAATTTGAGATCTATGAGAGAAAGATTTACATAATGTTCAATGTAAAATATACATTTAAAATGTAACAAAATGATTTAAATGAAATGTGTTCTCTCTTCTATCGCACACGCAACAACAAATGCAGAAGAAGACGACTAGGGTAGCAGTAACCTCAACACCAGTAGGTTTCAACATACACAAAGGGAAAAGCAAGATTCTCTGTTACAACACAACACGCACTAATCAAATCACAATTGACTGAGAAGATTTGAAAGATGTATAAACCTTTACATATCTGGGCGGCATCATTGATGAACACGGTGGATCTGATGCAGATGTGAAGGCGTTTATCGGTAAAGCAAAAACAGCAAATCTACAACTGAAGAACAACTGGAACTCAAAAAAACTTTCAATCAACACCAAAGTCAGAAGTTTCAATACAAATGTCAGGACAGTTCTACAGTATGAGACGGAAACTTGAAGAACTACGAAAGCTATCATCCAGAAGATATAAGTGTGTATCAAAAATTGTCTACGCAAAATACTTTGGATCCGTTGACCAGACACTATCAGCAACAACTTATTGTGGGAGAGAACAAACCAAATTGGAGTGTAGGAAGAAATCGAGAAGAAAGGCTGGAAGTGGATAGGACACATAGTGAGGAAAGCACCCAACTGTGTCACAAGGTAAGCCCTCACATGGAATCGTAAAGGTTGAAGGAGGACAGGAAGAACAAAGAACGCATTATGTTGAGAAATGAAGACAGACATGATAAGAATGAAGAGGAATTGGATAGGAGTGGGAATGAATGCGATGGACAGAGTGTGTTGGAGAATAGTGGTCGGCGGCCTATGCTCGATTGGGGGTAACAGCCGTAATTAAGTAAGTAAGTAATGTTGGCGATGCACAATAAACCTATAGGATTCAACAGAACCGTGCAAAATCTATAGATTATTTTTATTATTACAAGTTTTCAATTGTGTTTGAACAATGATCGGTTCATGATCTTATTAAAAAAACTCAACAATCTGATCAAGCCTACACTAATAATTACTACTGTCTGAAGCTATATCTTCAACTTATAGGTGGTAGATCGTAGCTTCGTTGATTAGGTAAATGTAATTTTACCACCTATGATATTTTGTTAGTAAAAATGGAACAAATATCATATCTAGGCAATTTGACAAAAGACCTAAGCTTGAGTGTCGTAAATTTTAGAATTTTCATAGTTTATATCATAAAGTGATCTAACTAAACCATCATTGAAAAATTTCAAACAATGATCTTCAGTTTCGTCCCGGGATCAGACTCCTTATCACAGGGACTCTAATCTAAGATTTTTGACGTCACACTACAACACTTAACCTGCAAACTACTGGGCCGCTTTCCAGTGGTGTTAATGTCTATTTCCAATCAATCCAGTGTATTGAGCAACCATTTCCGTTGTTTTTAATGGATAAGTGGTTCATATCATACGCGGTTGCTCACAAGAGCTTCAGGAATTTTATCTTGAAGCCGATCATTAGCTACTGCATAGTTGGTAGTAATATAAGAAAGTTTATAGAGATTATAATCCACTTGTGATAGGGTCATGGAGTCCAATAATAGAATGAAACATTTGTCCAGTACTTCGTGGTTAGCAGTGAAAGTCAAGCAAAGATCAGTTTGTGATTTAAACTTTTATGCATTGATAAAGAGGAATTTTTCAAATGCAACTAGTA